CCTTTTTCTTTCATGCAAGTAGATTTATGAGTTTCGGTAAGTCATCAGTGTGTTCAGGGCGGGGGCTGTTGAAAAATGTTTGATTTGAATAGTTTTTGTCAAAGGTTGCAATGCAAATGTGGTAGAATTGAGCTGTGCTGTGTGAGCATTATTCTCTATGGGAAACTGCTGAGTGTGTGCCAGTGTGTGCCAGTGTGTGCCAGTGCGTTGAGGGCATGTAGGAGTTGAGGGAGAGGTTAAAGGAAGAGGAGAGGAGAAAAATGGGTGAGCGAGTTCATGCTAAATGTAGGTTCTTCCTGAATTATTCACTTTTCCCTGCTGGGAACAATGCCTGGTCCTTAAAAGCCTTTACAGTATCATAATCTGTCGTACTCTGAGTTACTACACTGGCACATTATTTATAGATGCTTGTCTCTTGTTTGTTTAGTTTACCATGCTGTCTTTCTTCCATTTGTCCATTCCCATCTTCCTCTCTCAAACGTTCAGCTATGTGCAGCTTAAATCCTGATTCAGATTACATTTTTCATGCACAGTTTAGTGAACTTCATAGCCAGACAGCACAGAACAGTACTGAGACTTTCATCAAGTGTCTGTTTTAGAGCAGCTCCAGAGGCAATGAACAAAAGGCTGACTTTGTCTAGTAAGTTTGCACTTTGTTTTATAATGAGCCAAACCGAACATACTACCCACTTTCGTGAAAAACCTCAACAGGCATAGCTTTGGACTCATATTTATTGGTTGTTGTAGTAGCACCGGAGTTTGAGCAGATGACATTTCAGAATATTAATAAGTAGTGTGTTTTTGTATGGTTGATTTGAGTCGTGTTTGAGAACGGGAGTTTGTTTGAAGGATTTGGCTGAGGATTTGTTGAGAAGTAGACGTGCGAAGTGATGCAGAAAATGGGAAACAGAAATGTATTGTCCATATAGTGTTTCTAAACAGTTTATACGTGCTGTGTGGTACATAACAGATCAATCAACTTGAAACACAGCACAACTGCATAAGAGGGGCACACCCTAATGATCAGTTTACAATCTGCTGTCAAACCCCTGCAGGTATGTCACTGCTTGGATTGTGGCCACAAGTGAAGCATGTATGAAATGTTAGCCTGTAGGTGTCAGCTTCCTATCTTGTGTAATTCAGTTGTTATTTATCCATTTATCCTTTAGGACCAAAAGACCAATTTGAATAAATCCTCTATAAAAGCTCCTTTGAATGTTAAACTTACTGCCTTTGGGGCTGCTTTGGGCTTTTAACCTTTGACAAATAGACATGCACCAATTCACCAACACTCATAAAACAAGTATTGTTTACCTTAATTGGGTTTAATAAGGAGGTCTTTGTCACACACTCTGCATTTGCGCTTGTGCACATATGAACGAAACATGTAACAGTTGTTTTCCTGTGCCTAAAGGTTTTCTGTAGGAGAGTCTAGTGTCTAAGAAACATTAAGTTGTGCTGCAACACGCTGACTGAAAAATCAAATGGCTTCTAGCCAGCAGCACAGGAGGAGTACAGTGCAGTACGCCTGTGACTGCAAGAGAGCGAGAGAGTAAAAAGGAACATATGTGTGTTGTGTGAAATGACTTCACCTCTCAGGTGTGCAAACATTTCTCTTAGTGTGTTCCAATAATTTTCCTGAATTTATGTTCAGGGGTAAAAACAGGTCAACAAAAATCTGGAGTGGAATGAATGGAAAAATGTTATTCCTGGTTAAAACAGATTAGACACACATAAATGTAATCACACAAACGATCAAGCAGGTGATCGTAGCATTGCTGCAGCAGACGCCTCCGTGCTGCTGAGGAGGTTGTTGTCCCTCATTAAAATCTAGTGGAGACGCCATCAATCTTTTTAGATCAATACGCCTTTTCTTCCTCCCTCTTTTCCCTCAGTCTCTAATGTGTGTGAGGTTATGGGTGTAACTTCAGGGAGATATATGAGCCAGGTTCCCAGCGTGACCTTCCAGAGACCCAACATTAGACTGGGAAGTGTGAATAGAGCAAGTCACAGCTTCCCCTGTCGTCTTTCTGACGACAGGTTGGACATCACCACCAAGTGGTGTTAAGCGGCAACGACAACAAAACTGAAAAAAGAAATATTTGTATTTTATAATATTTGTATAATTCAAACATTTGTTATAGTACTTATGTGTTTACTGGATTTTACAAAGCGAAAGCAGCTTTTGGTTTGAGGAATGCTTTTGGAGATCATAAAGATGCCTCAAATTAGATTCTTTTTTTAAAGTTTCTTATCCAATCTTAGCATTATGACACTTTCACAGCTTGTAATCTTGCATTTACAAGAACCTGTTGCCTATCTATAAATAGCTGGCATGTACAGTGTGTGTGTGTGTGTGTGTGTGTGTGTGTGTGTGTGTGTGTGTGTGTGTGTGTGTGTGTGTGTGTGTGTGTGTGTGTGTGTGTGTGTGTGTGTGTGTGTGTGTGTGTGTGTGTGTGTGTGTGTGTGTGTGTGTGTGTGTGTGTGTGTGTGTGTGTGTGTGTGTGTGTGTGTGTGTGTGTGTGTGTGTGTGTGTGTGTTTGTGTGTGTGTGTGAGTGAGAGAGTGTAGGTATGCTATAGACGAGGGGTGTCACTTTTTTCACTGAGGGCCACATACAGAAGAATATAGGAAGGGCTGGGCCACTCACTAGAGGTTTATTACTTCATATGTTCTGTTATAAATTGGAAAAGTCAATCCAATGTAGGTAAATCATTCTTGATACTTGAAAATGCTGTAATAAAAAAACATCTCACAGCCCTCCAGAGGGTTTAATTTATTTTGTTGGCAGCTCATCAACTCCAAAATGGTGGAATGAGCTCCCCATTAACATCAGGACAGCAGATAGCCTGCACATCTTCCGGCGCAGACTGAAAACTCATCTCTTTCGACTCCACTTCGAGCAATAGAATTACCAACAAATAACTGCTAACAGAGCACTTATATACTAATAAAGGACTGGCTTATCTAAAGCCAGTTGAGTAGCACTTGAAATGTTTGGATCTATGAAACCTGATGTAGCCTACTTATGATTCTGTTTTCTTCAAGGTTGTATCTTCCTGGTCGAATGTACTTACTGTAAGTCGCTTTGGATAAAAGCGTCAGCTAAATGCAATGTAATGTAATGTAACTTAATTGTGTGTTTGGTCCAGGTTCCCACCAGCCTGTACTGCCCAGAGGAGGGTACATGCGCTCTCCCTCGTGGACACGCTGCAGCAGAGTTGAACACCCGCGGGAGAGGAAGCATCACAGCGACTCGGACACCGCAGAGCCCTTAATGAAGCTGGAGAGGCCGAAGCAGCCCTGACATCTGACAGGAAACAGCCGAACCGCAGAGAGAGAGAAAACCCAGAGCCAGACAGAAAGAAAGAAAGACACCGCCAGAGCAGAACAACAAAGCGGACCAAATCTGCCCGGCACACTCACACAACGTTAACAGGGTTCAGGATGAGCTCTGGAGAACAAGCTCTGTACTCCAACATGTTGAGATGTGCAATACACACACTCCCCCTCTCCTCTCTCCCTCTCTCTACACACAATAATTCAGATTTTCATCAAAGGGTTCTTAATGCACTCTGGACTGACATACAATTATAATCTTTGGATGACAGACAGGGTATGAGGTCGGCAGAATAACAGCACCTCCATCCTCACAGCCTCTCAGGGTGTGAAATAGCCTGGACAGTATTATTGATTCCTAAATTGTGTCCTAAGCATGTGCCCAGTCATTTCATGGTGAATTTCAGACTTTGGGATTCAAATTGAATAACCAGGATATGATTAGAAACACGAATCAATAGCTGTTCAAAATGAAATATCTTGCTCAGGCTATCACTTAAGAAGTGTGACAGGGTATTTCTGTTGCCTGCAATAAAGGTAACTTGATCAGTGGAAGTAGATGTCAGTAAGGTCTCGCTCTTTATATCCACTATAGCCTTCTTCATCTTAGTGAAGAATGTGTGTTGTTATTATGATTGCCTAAATAAAATGTTTTGCACTTCTCTCACTGAATTGTATAATAGCGCCCCCCAGAATTATTGGCATTTGGTACAGATGATAGGTTAACAAAATAAGTAGCAAGTTATATGCAAAACAATGCTCCAACCATATGTTTAAATAAATCCAATTTTTATTATTATCAAAAAAAGATGTATTTCAGAGTGCTGGAGTAATTAGAGATGGTTCTTTAAAGTTTGAGGATGCATTAACTTGATGGGTGAAGCAGTTAGAAATAAAGGGAGAATTGCATCAGGTGGGCTTCAGTGAACTTTGCATGAATGCCAAAAACACAATAAAGTGCCAACAATTTTGTAATTTCTTTACACTCATGATGCAATATTTAGAAAGGGTTATAGCTGATTACTTGATGCATTTATCTGACGTTTAGCTTGTCTATACCGGGAGTGCCAATAATTCTGAACTGTGGCAAGATGGATCAAATGACACTGGGATGATGGACGAATAAATAAAAGTCATCAAAAAGAACATTTTCTCCTGTCATTTACTAACTACACTTTGAGTGCAGCCCCATTTGGTATTGTGTGGCAACCCCTAACATTTTAACACAACAGCAACTGTAGATGGTGTTTTCACAAAAATATCTATAAGACAAAGGCTAACAAAGGTATGTTCTGCAAAAGAGAAAGCACACTGGTTGCTCAAACTTTAAGTAATATCTAAACATTTATTTTAGATATTTCTAATGGGATTGTGGCTTGTTCACACAGGTTACACATACTTTTGGAAATTACAATTTGTATTCTTTTTAATTTGATTATAAATAACTTGTTTTTAAGGGCATTTGCTTACATCCCAGACAAATACTCAAATAACTTGTAATTCATCCAAGGAACTGCAATTAGATTATGTGTTATTTAATAGCACCACACATGCCAGAATGAACAAACTGTTAAACAGTATCAATAGAATTCTGAAATGTTGTAATAATAAAGAAATACAGAACATGCTAAATATAGAAACCGGGAATATAAAACAGAACACAGGCGTATACAAGTTGTTTAATGTTGGTGTGAGCCACAGCAGCCTCACATTCCTTTCCAAAAAATCAATAATCCTCACTGACAAGATATATTCATCAAGCAAGAACAAGAACAGTGCATTGTCAAGCAATATTTTTCACTAACACTGACATACAACCAGAGAACAAGACATGTTCCAGTGTCAAGCTGGTCCTTTAACCAAACGTCTTTTCACTATCTATTGGAAAACCTGATAAAAAACGTTTTGAAAAGGGGCCGATATTGCAAGGCATTTAGTTCAAGTATGTTTTTATATTTGAGCTGGTTAACTCAGCTCAAGAGCAACTGGCTAAAAGAAGAAGACACAATTCACATTACAATAACAGTGTGTAACCAACCATCTAGGCCACATGAAGTTATTTAGCTTAGCTTGCTTGGGTCATCAGGGACAATATTCAAGTCAAATATTCATCTCTGGAATTTGAGCCCTTTCTCCTTTGTGTTTATTTACAAGAAATGTTAGTTAACCGGAAAAAGAGTGTGTGAAATGCCATTTTGTAGCTCATATAGTACTTAATTCTTCCTCTGCTTGTTCCCAGTTCTTAAGTAATCATCAATCCAAGTAATGGATGTCTACAGTAGATGCGATCCAATGACATATGTAGTATCATATGTGCAACACTGAGTTCTAACAGCTGCATCTCCTGATAACTGAATGAGAACCAGGTTGCGAAAGGCTGACGTCTGCTGGAAGACTTTCATGGTGATACAAATGTATTTAAATTGAGACACAACTTCACAGATATTTAAAGATGTCTTCATTATAGAACCGTGTGAAGACATATTTAAAACTTTCAGAAGAACAATCAAAGTACTTTTGAAATCTTAAGAAAACCTGGCCTCTACACTCAGGGACAACACGTTTTAGATATTTATCCATATATCCATTATAATAAAGTGGCAGCCGGAAAAGGAACCATTCTTGTCATATTAACAAAATTGGGGTCCGATGAAGGCATAGAGCTGTAGAATACCATTTTACCTTTGATACCATCATATAATGATACCAGCAACGTGTGTAACTGACAAATACAAACCACAATTCATGTACACAACACACAATGTCAATGAATTCTCAATGTTACAAATCTCATTTGGTTTCAGTTTTGTAAGTGGAAGTAACTGCATCTCAGTGTGAGAGGAAGGCAACCCCAGGGAAATGTAAGCGACAAACAGCTCCTCACAGAACTGTGGCTTACAGACTGAACTAAGAATAACATGATGAGTATTTTATGTAATTCCCCCCGGAATATAAAGACCACAATTCAAATTGCATTATTGAGGCCATTTAAGACCAGTGCAACACACATCGTATCTCACTTTGCTGCTGTGAGAACCAGGGATTTTTTTCAGAGCCCCGAAACTCTGGACCAAATGGTGAAAAACTTCGGAAATATTTAACTTAATTCAGCTAAAATATTTTCCTTGAGGCGTGTGTCCAGCTAGAGGAAAAGGTCTGATTTGTTTTGCTCATTCTGGAAGTGTTTTTCCCACCCTCAGTACTCCTTCTGGCTCTTGGGATATAGAGTTGTCCTCTAATTTCCCCAGCACATCAACAAACTCCTCATATGTTGACTTCTCTTGAAAGGGACGAGTTCCCAGCAGCTCCACCATGTCTGCTTTGTCTAGCATCTCCTTTTCTAGCAGACGTTTTGCCACCTGCAGCACATGAACAATTATAGTGAACAACAAGCATTTTTAAGATAATGGCTAACTCCATCAATACAAATGTAATTTATTATTGCTGACTTCGAGAACAGATGAGCAGTAGAATTAGCGATCAAGTTGCTTCTTCATACAGTGGTGGAAAAATGGCTCTTTATCTTTACTTCTGTCCATCCTTTTTGTCAGTGATGTGAGTAGTTCTCACCTTGTCCACCATATCTCTCTTGTCCGTAACGAGCTGAAGTGTTCGCTGGAAGGCAGAATCTATGAGCAAGCGGACCTCCTGATCTATGAGCTGGGCTGTAGTTTCACTGTAGGGCTTCTCCGTTACCATGTCACCCTGCTGAGGGAGGTCAAAGGACATCTGACCCATCGCATCATTCATTCCAAACTGTACAACCTGAAATATGAAGAGAAACAGGCCGTTAGTTACAAAACAAACTGTTCTTGTGTGCCTTTATTACAACATTGTTCTCAAACTAACAAAAATGCTAAGTGACTTCTAATTGTGCACCCAAAAGCCCGTTTGGATATCATGCGTTAAGACATGTGTTTCTGTCTGTCTTTCGGTCTATGGCTCATCTTGCAAACTACCTGACCCATCAGACTTATACATTTGTTTTGCTTATTTAGGACTGATTTTATACCGTCAGTGACTACTAACTCGTGGAGTTCCATGAGACGAAGACAAACCTACCGAGTCAACTTTTATAGTTATTATTAATACAAGTCTTACCATATTTTATATAACTTCCATTTCAGCATCTAAGTGTGCCTCAAAGAGTGTATGACTCAACATTAACTCCCAATGTCATATTTTATCACATACAGTAATTTACTGATTTCTTGTGCATTTGTTAACATGTTTGTTTTAGAGTATGGTGAATACCTGTGCATATGCAGACTGGGTGACCTTCCTGAGGTCATCCTCCGCTCCGGTGGTGATTCGCCGAAAGAAAACCTGCTCTGCCACTCGACCCCCCAGCATCATGCACATCCTGTCAAACAGCTGCTCACGGTTGAACAGGTACTGTTCCTTAGGCAGATATTGCACATAACCCAAACCTTTTCCTCTGGGAACAATGGAGACCTGAGGGAGTACATGATAGTTACTCCAATTATCAATATAATGATGTGGGGAAATCCCTATTTAATTGCAGAGGGTAAAAACAAATCTATTCAAGGGCAGAAGGTGGATTCAGATGGTCAAGCAGCAGTGTGAGAGAAAGCAAACGGTGTGACTACCTTAAGAAGGGGGTCTGCATGTTCGAGAAACCAGCCGGCCACAGCATGTCCGGCCTCGTGATACGCCACAGTTGTCTTTTCTGGAAGCTGCATTACCCGAGTCTTTTTTTCCAGACCTGAGAGAAAGGAGGATGTCTTACTGACTTGATGAAGATTTATAACCTATATCTAATTAATCAAGGTTCACAATAAGAATTGTCCATGTCAACTTACCTCCAATAACTCTATCGACTGCCTGCTCAAAGTGCTTGGTGTTGACATGTTGGCTGAGGTGGCGTGCAGCTATTAGTGCTGCTTCATTGCACACATTAGCAATATCAGCCCCTAAGACAAAAAGGAGTCAAAACAACCAAGTTAACCTGTCGTGTGATCAAAATTGGGCGAGAAATACAGCATGCAAACTGTATGACATTTGTAGAATAATAAAAAAAAAAAAGTGGAAACACTTGTGAACATGCACACACATCTCTTCTTCTTACCAGTAAAACCTGGAGTTAGTGCAGCTAGCTTCCTGGCCAAAGCCTGTACTTCTATATTGGTGTCCAACTTCAGAGGTCTTAAATGCACCTTAAAGATGGATGCTCTGCCTTTAATATCTGGTAGTCCTGTACAAAAATAGAAAAATAAAACAAGAAAATATTTAGAAAATTAATTTTGAAGAGCTGCTCATCAAATTCTGTAAATCAAACTGGTCAGTAAAGACAACATTCAACGACAAACCCTGTGTCAGCAGTATGTGTCGTTAAGCTCCTCATACAGCAGTGTTAGCTCTTACAAGGAGAGAACTGTTTTAATGGGAAGGCAAAGTCATGGGATCAGTGACCGCTTACATTTTTTTATACATTTAAAAGTTTGTGACATGCTGATTTTAAACTTTAAGTTAAACATACATTTGAAGTCTGACTGGAAGTCTCTGCTGGTCAGGACAGCAGAGAAGATCATCTGAGTTTCTCTCCCTCCCATCAGAGACACCGCTCAGAAACGCTCCCTGACAAAAGCCCAGAACATTTTTAAAGACCCCACTCATCCTCACCATGCTCTGTTCTCCGTGCTGCCCTCCGGCAAGAGGTTCCGCAGCATTAAGAGCAGAACAGTCAGATTCTGTAATAGCTTTTTCCCCCATGCCATCAGACTGCTGAATATTAAGTAGACCAGTAACACAGAGATTACATTACGCTGTGTAAAGTGCACATATTTTCTATATAGTATGTCTATTTTATTTATATGTATAGTAAGTCTTTATATTTTAAACGCACACTTTATCTTTAATTTGATCAGCACCACGTCACTATTATTTATTTATATGTACAATTTTAGCAAGTTTTTATATTGTCCTGTTCCTGTAAGCCAGTACAACGAAATTTCGTTTTAATAGTACACTCTGTGTCTTGTTGAAATGACAATAAAGTATGTCTATCTATCTATCTATCTATCTAAATTGGCATTGAAACTGTATTTGAGGCAACTTTATCTTAACAATACTGTTTACCTGTAACAACAGAACGATTAAAGGAAAGGGAACAGAAAAAGTCAACAACACAGAGGAGTGTGTGTCTCGTCCCGCATTTTGGCCGCCAGTCATCTAATCCTTCTTTTATAGAGAGCCAGCTCTCTCCTTTTGACCCAGTGTTCTATTCAGAGAGAAATCTGCCCTGCCCACTGTTGTCCAGCACTGCTGGCATAAAGCAAATTAAATCTCAGCAGGCTGAAAAAGATCAACCATTTTAACCACAGAGATAAAAGCGCACAGTATGCAACACACATTTTAAATGACATTACAACTGAGCAGTCGCAAATAAAATAAAAGAAGCAAATATAATAGGCTTGAAGCCAATTTCTTAAATGGAAACCATACAGTGACTGTGTCAGTAAGGTTAAGATTAGCACCTCATCTGAAGCAGACAAATACAAATAACAAAGTTAAATCTGCTAGCACATTAGTGCCACTGAATTGGGGTTGTTGCATGGTGCCTGCTGTGCAGTAATACTGAGATGGTGTGGTAACACATTTACACATTAATATGGAATTGAAAAAGAGGGGAAAAACATGAGAAAAACCACTCCGGGTTTGCTTTCAAGTCTAAAATTAAAAACATCCAAAGGAACATAAATTGCATTACGGAAAAATAATAAAGTCGGCCGGTTTATTTTATACAAGATGTAAATCAAAACCCCCAAATAGCTCTTACCTTGCAACTGATTAAGTGAAATGTAATAAATTTAACTTAGAGGCACGTTTAAAGTGAACCAGGGATACACGATGATGTAGAGAAAGAGATGTGGATAACAGATTGAGTGTAATTAAGTGAAACCTGCTCTCAGGAATCCAGGAGAGAGCAGTAGCCTATAAAGTTAGAGAAGACCTAAAACAAGTGCTTCACTTTACCTAAGTATATATGTCGGTCGAAGCGTCCCGGCCTCATCAAAGCTGGATCCAGAATATCCACTCGATTGGTGCCAGCTAAAACTATCACATTAGTACAACTGTTGAACCCTGGAATGACAAATACAAATATCATATGTGATGTCGTGAAATAATGCTCCAGGAATGGGACAAAAAAAGTCTTGAAAACTAAGAGATTACTGCCTACCGTCCATTTCCACAAGCAACTGGTTGAGGGTGTTTTCCTGCTCGCTGTTGTTGCCAAAGTTCCCTCTGCCTCTCTTTCTGCCAATTGCATCAATCTCATCAATAAAGAGGATGCATGGAGCGTGTTTTCGAGCTGTGGCAAACGTGTCCCTTATCTTATAAAGGAAAGAGCAAACAGAAATCACAGAAATTATCTTACAGTTAGCATCCTTTCCTGTAAAAAACAAAACACCCAAAGCAAGGGTCATGCTTTTTATTTGCACCTCTAACATAACAATCCCAATAATAATTGTGTTTACAGTTTTGCCAAACAGCATAATGAAATGCATGTGACCAATTCATTCAGTTTTATGACTACTTGGCACTATCCTGCATTTAGCCCATACTGACCCTCGCTGGACCCACGCCAACAAACATTTCCTGGAACTCGGAACCGTTGACAGTGATGAAGGGGACGTTGGCCTCTCCTGCCGTGGCCTTAGCTAGCAAGGTCTTTCCAGTACCAGGCGGGCCCGCCAACATTGCACCCTGGTTTAAGGAGACATGTTGCACTCATTTTCAGGCTTATATTTGTTTTTTGAGTTTCTACCAAAACCTGGTTAAAAAAACAAAAAAAAACATAATTGTTGTATCATATTGTCTGTCTGTATATACCTTTAATCACTCTTTGTCTGAAAGGCTCTGTTTAAGACCCTCTCCAAAAGAAAACAGTATGTTCTGATTGGCTTGTGAGAAAAATGTGGTGCAAATGTATTTCTCTATAGATATTTAGATGTGGGTTCAATTCAAATAACCCTGCATGTAACATAGGAAAGGAAGCCAAATGTGAAAGGCTTGTTGAATCCCATGATTCTTGATCAGGGCAGCCATAAAAGCATTAGGTTTTCCATCATATCTCCTGAATAATGATGAATGCTAAGGGCACACCTTTGGGATCTTGGCTCCTAGGTCGTCGTACTGCCGCGGGTTCTTCAAGAAGTTGACTAACTCCAAAATCTCCAGTTTGGCCTCCTCACATCCTGCGACATCTTTAAATCGAACCTTGATGTTGTCTGTGATTATTTTAGCTTTGGATTTACTCATGCTGGAGGGGTCTCCTTGCCCTTTACCCCCACGACCTCCTGCCATTGGTCCCCTACGCATGGCAACAACTAAAAAGCTGACCAGCAGTAAGGTTGGGAGAACGTTTAAAAGGAGTGTCCTGTGGGGGGAAATAAATAAGCTCCATAAGGCCAGCATCAATATGACAATACAATAGTGTAAAGTCATTTTAATATGAACATTTTCAGGTACTCATCTAATAAAATCCTCACCCATCGTTTTCACTGCTGTAGAATACAGGAACTCTCTGTGAGTCGAAACCCATTTCTTGCTGGGCCATTTCCAGGTTGTGCTCAAAGGACTCAACACTGCCAATGTTGAACCACAAAAAGCTCTGAAATGTACACAAAACAGAGGGGATTCAACATCAGTATACTGTGCAAAACGTTTGCTTATGTACATTAAACTCACAAGCAAGCCTGTCTAGGTTTTTCTAAAAGGTAAATAACAAGGAAGACATAAACTCTTCTTTCAACAAATGTAAACAGTCAATCAATTGCAGCTTCTGTTGGCTATGATAGCTAATTCTAGTGCACAAAAGTACATTGTTTTACCTTAAAAAGTAGTATTTTAAATTGCATGTGATCAACCTAATCGGTGGACTGGATTCCAATTGAAGTTCAGAATATACGTTGTAAGAGAGCCTTTAGTTTAAATTATTAGGCAAAACAAAGGTATGACTCATCTCTGTTTTAAAAATATCCCTTAACCTAACCAACAGCATGACCTATAGGAAAAGCAGAATAACTAACCACTTCCGGTGTGTTCACTCCATTGAAAGGAATTACTTTGACATATTGTTTATTGACAACCTCCAGGTGATCGACCTGTGTAGAGGGCACAAACAACAATTTGTTTACATGGTGGAAAAAAACAAGCAATAAAAACGAAAGTAACAAAAAACGAAATCCTCTCTCCGCCTCTTACCAAGCCTCTGTTCAAGTAGTACTGCACAAAGTCCTTCCAGGAGATCTGCATCCCCGTCTCTCGGAAGTAAAAGTACAAAAAAGCTGAGACCATGCCTGCTGCACCGAATGCAACGTACTGAAAAGATCTTTGATGCAAGGGAAACTCCTCCTGTTGGGTCAAGAAATGTTGTAAGAAAAAAAACAATTCATTAATTGAAAGACTGTAAAACCATCTCTCTTCTTACACTGCAACCGCAGTATGCTGCCTGCCAGATATATCATGATATGAACAGTACTAGTATGTATTATAGAAATATAATTAATTTCATGAATTGACCGTTTAGAAAGACTGACAACAATACAGTGTACAGAGTTCTTGTTAATTAAACATAGATACATAACATTGATATAATACTATGAGTAGTTCTATGCTCAAATAGGTCAAAATGCATGCTAAATTATGAAGAATGCAACTTAGATTTGCTCTAATTAGTGAGATCAGGCTTAGATTTGAATAAAATATATCATATGCCAGCATTTAAAAAATAGATATACGTAAAGTTAACGTGTAGTGCATTTTGAAGTGCATCTAAGACAGAAATCGGTAATATTCTGGTCATTCGCACCAGAAAGCGCGTCCACCAGTGGGATTCTTCCTTTTTTCCGCCTTGTTTTCTTCCGTCCCCATCATTATTTGTGTCTTGCTCTTCCGTTACAAGAGATTCTTGTTTTTTGGTATTTTCATCTGAATGGTAACAGAACATCAGTCATGCACTGCAGAGGAAATGAGAACGGAAGATGTACAAATGATGCTGTGATAGTGACTCAAACATTCCTCACCTTCAGTTGATTTGTTGACGCCAGGGCTCTCTTTACTCTTTGGGAAAAACTTTTCAAAACCTGAAAGCAAAAACAGCAAACACAAACAACAAAATATTTAGGTCATCGTGTGCAAACGTTTCGCTGAATTACGTAGTGTTACAGCATTAGGAGTTACATTACCTCTTGGGGGTTTGTTTGAGCTAAGTAAGCGAGCAAGTTGGAAACTGTGTTGGAATAATCCTCCGCATCGCCTTTGGATCAGTGACCCCTTCTAAAACAAAAAGTTACAATATGATTAACAATCTCACAGCATGGCCATAAAAAAAGACTTCTGGAAAATAAATATTAGGTTGAAAGAGATTAATTCAACAGGCTTTCTAGTAGATGTTATAGACTGGTGATAAGAAACAACATTATAAACATTGTGTCCCGGTTAACTTGATTTAATTAAGAAACTGTTCCAGATAACTCACTTATACACTGAACCGTGTCTCTAAATCTCACATGGTATTTACTCAATCAAATACCATTATCAATAATTGAGAATAACAACATTTTACACAACATTTAGATGTTTATATTGATGGAATATATATTTGGGTGCCAAAATTGTTATTGTTGAAAAATTATCTTTACAATTAAAGATGCCATAAACAAATGCTTGTTTAATAATAATAAAAAAAATCCTAAATGAATATTAAATTAAGCAAACTTTTAGTTAAAGGTGGGGTAGGTAAATTTGAGAAACCGGCTCGAGTGCGTTAGAATTTGAAAATACACAACTAGAAAAAATCTGCCACTTCCTTACAGAGCCCCTCCTCCAACACTCACGAACGCGCACATGACCAATGAGGGCACGAGATAAATTTGTGCACAGATGGAAGGCTGACAGGCAGGTAGGCCATCCAGTTATTTTAGCCGGGCCGACTAAAATGATTGGTCGTGCTTTTTACAGTACTACGGCTTTCACAGATGAAGTTTTTTAATGGATTTTTTGTCAAAGCACTTAAGATATTCATTGCTATCGGGATGTTAAGAGCATTCCATGGAATATAACAAAAAGTGTATCTCGAGCCGGTTTCTCAAACGTACTATACTCCACCTTTAAATTAACACTATAGTTTACATGTTATACTACCTTTGCATTCACAAGCATTTCTCATTTCAAGTGTTTATTGTTACCAGAGGTGGGAAAGGTACTCAAATCTTGTAGGCTACTACCAGAGTGTAGGAATACTCTCTTACAAGTAAAAGTCCTTAAAATTGTGACTAAAGAAAAAGTACAAAAGTGTTGTCAGCTAAATGCACTTAAAGTACCAAAAGTACTCATTATTCCAATTGGCCCCATTTCAGTATAATATACATGATATGTTTTCATTATAATTATTGTAGAGGAATACAACTACAATATTAACCTCTGAATTGTAGTGCTGTAAAAGTACAAATTAGTAACACGTTGAAATACTCATAAAAAGTCTCTATAAATGGTTCTTAAGTACAGTACTTGAGTAAATGTACTTAGTTACTTTACACCACTGATTGTAACAAAGACATGCTACAGCAACAGCAGAGCCCACATACGGTCACACACACCAGCAGCAGCAATATATGGAACAGCTGTATGGGCTGGGCTCTATTTACCATGCAAAGAAAACAAATACACGATAACCAAAACATTTATTATCTGTTTGTTGCCCCAGATTAAAATCTGCCTCATGTCATGTGACATCAAAACTGTAATCTACTGTATCTCTATTACATCTACATTCAGAAAATACCGTTTGGAACACAATGTTCAGTGTTAAAGTGCAGCTCATAACGCGCACATGACCAATGAGGGCACGAGATAAATTTGTGCACAGGTGGAAGGCTGACAGGCAGGCCATCCAGTTATTTTAGCCGGGCTGGCTAAAATGATTGGTCGTGCTTTTTACAGTACGGCTTCCACAGATGAAGTTTTTGTATGCATTTATTGTCAAAGCATTTAATATATTCATTGCTATCGGGATGTTAAGAGCATTCCATGGAATATAACACAAAGTGTTTCTGAAATAAATTACATACCCCACCTTTAATATTTGCTTGATCAATTATAAAAGTAAAGACAAATGAATGAATGAATGAACCAATAAACAAGCCTGGGCTCAATGCCCCTTCCCCAATACAGTACTAGACACGCCCCCCTTCAAAAACAATATTATGAAACTGAGGAAATTGACTTCTAAACTAAACATAATCAAAAGGACATATCGTGAGAGTGCAAACAACTGAGGAATGATACATAAACAGTGCTCAGATTGTTTGTTTACAGATGTAGGGGGTCTAGACTCTAGAGTCTAGAGCTTGCACCGAGGAACACTGTGTTCTTTCCCATGACAAATCAAATACAATTACACTCCGGCATTACTGTGATCCAATGCATAATGCAAGTGTTGCAAAACAACAAGGTTGCATTGATATAATTCATGCAAATGTGTAGGTTTTTTTCAAGGTCTCTTTCAATGGCTCTGAGAGGACCGTAGCCACTTTAGAAGAAGAATAACAAAAGTCACCGTACCGATGTGAGGGCTCCGCCGCTGCGGAAAGTAGCGATAGCTGATAGATCTCGACTCCAGGACCGAACCGCCCGGACCCGGTTCCGAAAGGGCCCGACACTCAGAGCGAGAAGCATATCAGCTATCTTCCCTGGGCTTCACTGGAGTATCGCTGCCTGCTGGAGTCAACAAGAAGTACTGTACCGTGCACCATGCACACAATGCCATAACCTCGCGAGATTCTAGTTACAAAATAACTGGTCGTGGTTTCACATGTGGGACTTGTTTGATAATCATTTAAATCCGAAAGACATATCTTTCTTTTACCACTATGGGTTCAAATCATGACTGGATAATGGTTAGAAATTCAAGCTAAAAACAATAAATTAAAATCATTAGTATCTGTATCACAAAGCCTTGGAGTTTGACTGGTTCACTGAGTTCATTCTGTACATGTATGTACCAGTCTATGGTATGTACACTTATGCATTGATATGTTTGCGACCAGACTTCCTGTTTATGATGGTGTAATAAGGGAATTTACATATAATATAACTATAATATTGTATTTTGAATTCTAATATCGCAGATATTGGATCTGAATAAGGGTTCTTATTAGATTATTTACAGCACAGGACATACTGTATTTTGCATAATCACTGGCAGAATTCCAAGTCCTCGACCACTGTCAATGCACCATATGTTTTCACAAGTGGAGCCAAAAGAGGCGTGGACGCTCCCCCTTTTGGACTTTATACTTTATAAGCAGTGGTTGGATGTACATACTCAAATAGGCTATTATAGTTTAACCTTTAATACATACGTTCAAATTGTACACATATAACAGATCTAAATAAACGTGTCAAAGCATTACTAACTATTGCTTTGTTACAGCATGGGCACATCTTGCATTTTGGGGCCAGTGTTGTTGTCAACTGTTGAATAACGCATTGTACCATCATTTAACATAATACATACATTGGGGATGGATTTAGAGCATACCAGGCAGAAGAGCAGGGGGTCAGGGGGCCAGAGAGCCTTTGAGGCAGTATTAAAAGAGGTATCAACATTAGTTTTTTTTTAAAGTCAAATGGCTTAGTCAAGAGAAGGCAAGACTCAGTGACTGTTTAGGCCTGATCATAAATGTAATTTTCTTAGAATTTTGATTTAAAAGTTTAAAGGTTTTACACACGTTAAAATGAGGTCCAGTTATTATCATTTGTCCACGAACAGATGACAGTTGAACTGGAGTTAAGCACAAAACTGCAGTTGTAATGCATCCATTACTTTATTCATGCACTACTCGACATGTTATACAACAGGGCATGGGTATTCCCAACTCCATTAGTTTAAAAAAAAAAATACAGTACATCATGCTGAAAGATAACACAGCCATCATTAATTATTTTTAAACAAATATTTGAGGTCAACAATTACACATTATCAAAGTTGTCACGTAACATCTTTGACATCCCTGGACAACATGTGCTATAGGTCATTTAAGACTGAAACCATTAACATGATGGTAAATGTAATAAGACGTTTGGATAACAGCTGTATGTAACCTGACTATCTTAGGCACACAATGTTCATTAGTATTCACAACCATGTGCTACTCACTGCACTAAACTGAACAGATCAAACGCATAACAAACCATCTGAAATGAGTTCACAGTTTTGAATAAAGGAAAGCACATTTAACTTCCATATTATTATTATTTTTTGTAGCTCTACAATTCTTATTACAAGAAAACATATACTGGTGATGCATGCTGTGCTAATATACCTGTTGCCAATATCTGAATATGATCACATAGTCAATCTATTTATTGGATTTATTATTGTAAACTAATTGTGCACTTTAAGTTGTTCATAACAAACTGCTGCTTGGAAATGATAGCTTAGAAGGTAACTCTCCTAAATTACAATAGCCTGTTCACAAAATTGTGGTATAAAACAAAAACTGGAAGCTAAAGCGAAAGTTCCGGTTAATATTACTAATGTTAATTAGTCTTTTAAAGCTAGTTATTATCCATTTATCATATATGGCAACCTTAAAGTTTATTATTCAGCGATGTTGGCAGTTTAGGTTAATGAAGTCGAGGATTGTAATGGTTAATATACAACAACTCCTGCATGCATAATCACCCATGTTGATGTGGCTTTTCTCTATATTTTATACATTTATACAAGCAGACGCACAAAATAACTCACTCACACAAACACATACACAGTGTTCAGTACATCCAGTTTCAGTATGAATCAAAAAGTTGGATAAAAATATATATATATATATTCATTTCCAGATGGGTTTCTAAGTACCCTGCTTCATGTTTAGTGCACAGGAAGATATAGACACTACAATATTAACATACGCACAAAACAAACCAGGACAAGGACGAAAAGCTAGTCTTCTGTTGATTGGGTAGAGCACAACACGAGGCAAAGTGCAACATCCAGAAACATCAGGCGGTCCTCTCCAGAGTTATGCATCCTTCACATCTGGCACCTCGTCCTGCTTGCGGTCAGTCATTCGGGCACATCGCGGACAAGTTGTGGAGTTGTCATAGTAACAATCTCTAAAGAGACAAACACCAACAATGTTGTTACATAATATGTCAAATGGATTGTGTCCATTAGGGTAATGAGTTTACCTTCTTATTATCTGATACGATCTGCATTTAAATCATGACATGATGATCTGATTTGTCAGATCTGAACTAGATAAGCTCAATAACTGGACATCTTTAGGGTTACTAGTACTGCAGCTCCACTGAAAACAAGGGGACATTCACTTTTATAGCTTCAACATTTTGTTTCCGTTATGGCAATGCTGCGTTTTAAACTCCTCGTTTGCAGTATTTTCAGTCTGATTGGCTGGTGGTGACTAACCTGTGGAAGACAGCAGAGCAGTCGTAGCAGACGGAGGTGTGACTGTCAAACGGGAACAGTATGTCTCCTTCCTTACACAGCTCACACACAAATCCTTTGGCTTGACAGCGCTACACACACAGACACACACACAACAAATTGGAAAGACATTTAGAGTTTCAGGGAGGCTTAATTTTCTCTCTCTTTTAGCGAACAATGCTCAATCATTTCGCAAATAGCTGTAAATATGAAAAGTATTTGCTAATTGCGTTTTAGAAGTTACTACAAGATAAAGTTGAGAGAGATTCCCACAGAGGAAATGTGTGTCCTTTCAGAGCCAGATCATGTTCTCTGTGTGTATCCGCTCACCTCACAGTCTAGTTTGATGTGCTTAGCAAATGTGGTGTGGATCTCTGTGAGGGAACAGCTGAGTCTGCCACTGGAGATATCAATCAAATCCTGAAGTGAGTACATGTCGTCGTTCTCCACAAAGTGCTGACGATCTTGAAGCTGGGGAACACAAAGATAGAATAAAATACTAATATGTTTTTTTTGTCTGTTGTAAAGCCTTTTTAAATCACAGAAAAATGAATGCAAAAGCTCTGAAATATCAGAAGGAAAAATAATGGAGAAATATTTGAGCTGATGCTGAACCAAGTCACGTTTACAGTATTTTCATGGACTAATAATATCACATTCACTGCCTCAAATGTACTGTACAACGGTAACTTTTTCTGACACAGCCCGGCTCTCCCCTTCCACCACATGGTGGTGCTCTTGTTACAGTATATAACCTATTGGTCACATAGCATCATATCATGCAACTGTATCTGATGCTTTAGCTCAGAATAAGAATCAGAATCAGTGCTGGAATTGGGCCGGTACTCACCGGTACGCAGTACCGGCACTTCTGGTTCTGACCCATGGAGTACCGGCACTTCTTGCTCAGTACCGGCATGCTGGCGGTACTCCGGTACTCATGCACCGTGCCAGTACTCAACACTCTCCCGCCGTTCTTATTATACATCCATATATATATATATATATACAGCCGCCCGGTACTCAGTAGATGCGTCATGAGGTGCCGAACGGACATTCTCATCGCTCTAACCGCTGGAGTTTCACAGCGGCTGTCAGCTGTTTACTCCTGTCATTCAAACAGAACGTGCTGGAGAGGGGGCGGGGCTTATCTTCTCCATGTAAATACTGTGGTGGAAACGACTATGTCAAAATTAACCTATTTGACCGTGATTTAATAGTAATACACGTTTCAAAATAATAATAATAATAATAATAATGCCGAAGTAACAACATACTGAAAACTGTTAGTAAAACCATGTTTTAATGCTTTACAATTTACATACCTAGATGCACGTGTGTTGTGTTTATGCAGTGCAACTCCCACCCAGTGGGTGGCTATGTAGAGTGATAGAACAGAGCAGGCACGCCCCCGAGAGAAGGAAAGCAAGTCACGTCACAAATTAGCATTTCTAAAATGTTAGCGTGGATTAATAAAAGTGCAAAAAGACAGCGGTTGTCGCCGGAAGAAACTTCAAATACAGAGAATGCTGTGCCTGTGTTGGAAATTGTGTCTGATGGGGAGCTTTCTTTGGTTGATCCTCCTGCTCCAAGTTCTAGTGCATTAGCATTAGCACTAGCTCCGCCGCCTCCTCCAGAGCCTCTAACGTTAGCTGCTGCTGGCGCAACTGCCACCACCAACACCGGGCAAAGCGATGCACCTGACTGCTGGACAACGGACCAGGTGCAATATTTTTGCAAGACCAATGCATGGCTCCTTCTTAAAGATAAGAAGCTAGGATGTCGGATATGCAGAGATGTCAAATCTTTGGGAATACACACTGGACAAGGACTGAAACTGTCAACTGAATGGGGTGAGTGTGCAGTGTCTCATTTCGGTGTTGACAAGGGCAAACAACAAGCTAGCCTGAGAAAAAAAATCAAAGAAACATAAAGAATCACAAGCCCATGTAAAAGCTGCTGACATCCTTACATCTGCTTCACGTGAAACTATTCAACATCAAGTGCAGTCTATGCATAAATCTGAATTAGACACCACTATCAGAGTTTTTCGAACGGCATATAAAATTGGCAAACATAGCCGGCCATTCACAGACATGCCAATTGATTTGAATGTACAGAAACTGAATGGGCTGAACGTGGGCAGGGTTTTGCACTCCAATAAAACCTGTGGCGAAATCATCGACCACATAGCTCATGAACTGAAGAAAAAATGGCAAAAGACATTACAGAAAACCAAAGAAAACTCTGTGTTTTGGTCGATGAATCTACCACTATTAGTGGTAAAACGGTGCTTGTTGTGTGTCTACGCTCAGCATTAGCTGATGCTGAGCCCGAAACGTTTTTTTGGGAGCTGATCGAGTTGGATGGAACAACGCTGATGACATCACAAAGGCGTTAATGGAGTGTCTTGGAAGAGATTTTAACGAGGACTTTTTAGGTCAGTGTTTCGTTTCTTTTGCATGTGATGGGGCTTCAGTCATGCTAGGGAAGAGAACAGGCGTTGCTACCCAGTTGTGTAGTAAATTCCCAAGCCTGTTTGTGTGGCACTGCTCCAATCATCGTCTAGAGCTGGCAGTTGGGGATGTGGTCAAGGAGGTCTCAGGGCTCAATCATTTCCAGATCTTTTTTGACAAACTCTATTCCTTTTTCCATGCCTCCCCCAAAAATCAGAGGCAGTTAGCGCAGTGTGCGCAAGCAGTCGGACAGCGTCTCCTGGTGATAGGGCGTGTTTTGTCCATCCGCTGGGTGGCTTCAAGTGAAAGGAGCGTCAGAGCAGTCTGGGAAAACTACCGAGTGCTTCATGATCACTTCACAAATGCTGCAAACGACAGGAGCAGGGATTCCAGAGACAGAGCAAAGTACAAGGGCCTGGATGATGTGCTCACATCTGCAACGTTTGTCAGCAATCTGGGACTGATGTACGATGCGCTCACAGAGCTCAGCGACCTCTCTCGGCAACTCCAAAAAAGAGAGATGACACTGCCTACAGCAGATAGGCTCTTAACTCGAGAAATACGAGTTTTTGAATCCATGGTCACCATGCCTGGCCCACACATGACTACAGTTCATACAGCTCTAGCTGAGAAGTCCTTCAAGGGTGTTGCCCTGCGTGAGAATGGCAGGCTTGTACAGATTCATGCAGGTCAGTTTTTCCGCAGTATGGTAGAGAATCTGAGACACAGAATGACTTCCACAACCTCCTCTCATGTCAGCACAAGATAAATCCCATTACATGGCCGGGAGGCCCGGGACAATCAGCTAATCCAGGACATGAAAGTTATCCATCCTGGAAGTTGGCCTGAAGAGGAGTTAGACGTACAGTATGGGGACGTAGAGGTGCTACGTTTGTGCGAAGTGCTGAAAGTGGACAGAAGAGAGACTGTTCAGGGCTTTCGCGAATACAAGGAAACCAGGGCATCCCGTACACCTGCTGCCATGGAGCCTCTACTGAAAGCAGTCCGAACCATCGCTGTCTCCACTAGTGAGTGTGAGCGGGCATTCAGCTGCATGAACGATATCCTTACTGCAAAAAGGAATGCTCTCTCTGTCAGCCGACTGTCCAGCCTGGTTTTCATTAAATGTAATGGACCATCACTAGGACAGTTCAATCCGGAACAGTATGTGAGGTCCTGGCTGGCAAAGGGAAGGAGAAGTGCTGATGAAAGAGCCTGTCCAGCTCCAGCCCCTGATACTGATGTCCCCAAGGCCTTCTGGAGCCTTTTCTAACAATGTGAAGTATATTGCAAAGCAGCTCACCCAGTGAGAAGACTTTTGGCATAATGTGCCGATTTGTACAGATCCTGGAGATAGAAGGACTTCAGACCAACCAGGGAGTTATCTGATCAGCTTGGGGTTCAATGTAACTCTTTACCATGGCTCAGACTTTGTTACTTGCAGTTACAGTTTCTCATTTTAGATTGTGCAAATTTTGCATTTGTTTTTACATGTTCTTTGTTCATGCTCTTTATCATTTTTCTGAGTTGGAAAGTTAGATTGCATCATAGTTTACTTTATACATATTTGTATTCTTCAGTGGTGAAGTATATTGCAAAGCAGCTCAGCCATGTGAGAAGACTTTTGGCACTTTTTCGTTTTTCGTTTTCTGAGTTGGAAAGTTAGATTGCATTCAAAATGTACAGAAATACTTAATTTTGTTAAAGCTTTTTATAAAAAATGCTTCTGACCAGAGCTTTGTTTCCTTGTCATTAATGTTGAACACCACCAGAGGGGCTCTCACCTGAAAGGTCTCTGCTTCATGTGTCTTCAGCAGAAGATCTAGACTTTGATTGCTATATTTTCAGTTAATATTGACCTTACTGAGCTTTAGCCATATCCGCTGCCTATCATAAAAAATGTTAAGTACAGTGAACCTTTCTAAAATATACAGTAGTAAAGAGACAAACCCACCAGCATTATAGTAGCCAAATTCTTGTGTGTGGGCTGTATATATAAAATTGACTTGAAAAAGTTGCTGATTTTAGAGTACTGGCACCTTTTTCATTCCAATTCAAGCACTGATCAGAATACCTTTATTCCTCCCACAGAGGGGACATTTGCATTTGTTACAGCAGGAGAAGTGCCAAATACAGCTTAATATTACCCAAAAAGCATGCATACAAAATATATTAAGATAAAAACTGTTAAATTAAAAAGAAAAATTACACAATTTACAAAGTACACATCCACAGCTGCACCATGCAAATTCAAATTCAGTCAATACATAATTACCTGTAGCAATAGTCGAGCCTCCATGGCCTCCTTACAGGTAATAAAATAGGGTTTCATCAACAGAATATCTTGACGGAGCTTCTGTAAAGGAAACACACACACACACGACAGAATTGCAGTTGTTAAATAGGAATATGTGAAAGATATTTTTTAAGATTTATTTTTCATTTACAATGAGAACATCTACAAATTCCAAAGCAGTGGAGCTACCCACCCTGATCTCAACCAGTTCCTCCACGAAGTTGAATAGCAGCGGGTTGATTTCTTTCAGCCTCAGCACAGGACGTGAGATCATCAGAGCAAGGTAACGCATTGAGGAGCGACAAACCTGAAACAGAGACGCACACTGTCAGAATATGCAGACATGGACATGCTGATACACCTCTCAGACCCATACAGTGATGTGGGTTAAACCTGTATCTGACTAAGATGTGCAACCCTCCTCCTGACTGGGTTTAACAGGAAAGTGCTGACTGGTAGGTATTTCTATTATGTAAGATGATGTTATTGATGTTCAAACGACATCAAGCTGACTACCCTGAATAATTATCTTCCCTGTGATGTCCTGAAGTAAAATTGGTGGAGTGCGCCCTTAAGTTTGTTTGATGCTTCTGTAATGCAATTATGTGTAATTCTGGGATTAGCAATAACATTTATGGGTACAGTTGCACATTCGAGTCTTGTGTTTTTACCTTGCGTGGGTCAAACTCCCAGTTGTGTATGACACGAGCTGGGACCACGGCGGAGTCGTTCCAGTGGCATGTGCTGCAGTAATACTGGCCTGTGTAGTCGCACTGCCTGGCTTCAGTGGGCACGCCCCCCTAAACGTTAATATAGCACAGTACGTTAAAACTATGACACAAAAGAAAGCAGGATGTCATTTAATACAGTTTCAAATCATGATCAAATGCATTGTATTTAGATGTGCAGAAGAGGATAAAGGTTACCTGTAATGTACCTGTAATGTGTAAAATAGTCATTTGTTATGTGTTTGTAATTTATAGTCATGCTTTTCTGGATGGCTTAAAATAAACCTTTATTTATAACTATGTGCACATGCCAAGCAAACTTGAGTTCAAACAGCCGAAGACGTATTGCTTTTGGTTCCTTTGTTCCCCTTCTTTTTTTGTTTGCATAACACAGTCGATTTGCACTCACTCAGTGAAATAGGTGTACGACATTCTGCACAGCGGTAGTCCTGTCGGTCCAGTCCGATCTCCGGGCAGATGCTGAGCTCGTACTCCGACTGGTGGCTGACTTTTACCCTGACACAGGGCTTGGTGATCAAGTTCATACACTTACTATGGCAACGATAATAGCAACCTGAAACAAGAAAAGGCAACGACATTACCACTTTACCCAATGGGTTGGGTGTGAATCGCTGCTTAACATATTTAAGTCCAACATTCAAGAAATATATTCAGAGAAGAATTAAAAGTTAACCTTAAAATTTAAAATACATCAATATGTATTGAAACTGAAAAAAACAACCCAATTCCTATTAGGAATCTGGGTTAAAGGACAGTCAGTTAAACAAATGTTCCCCTTCTCTGATTGGTTCAGAAATGTAAACATGAAGCATGCATGCGTAGCTTTGAGACAACAAACGAGACAGTGGGATTGTGGATGGATGTGTCATGAAGTCCAAATTGAAAGCCTGTGCATGAGTTTTGAATTGTTTGCACTATTGGAAGTTTTAAAGTTTGGTACTACTACTAAAACATCTCTACAGTGTTATATCAAGCTGATGCACTGCCTAGCGTGTCTAACCTGTGCAGGTGTACCACGTCTGGATAAGGCCCCAGATGATGGCGCCACACTTGTCGCAGGTCTGCTTCACACTTTTGCTCTTTTCCTTGGAAAAGCGGTGCTCCAAAAGGACTCTCAGATTCGGTTCATCCTCCTCTGGGTCCTTTTAAAAGGACAAAGTGAAAAACAGAATGTACCACTAACATGGCAGTAACACAGTTTATGTGTAGATGAAGATGAGAGAGAATACAAAAATGCAATATCCATATTAATTTTTTCATAGTCCCTATATGACCCTTCCTGAACACAGACAGATGTCTACTCTCAAGGAAAAACAACTTAATGTAATTAAACATGGCTGACAACCAAGTGACGCTCAGGGAAAATCTCCCAAAATGTACAGTACTGTACTGTACATGACATTCAGCTGCTTCACATGATAGGGTTCAAATGCCACAGTATAAATACCCTTCATCAAAGATCATGCAGATGCTAACTAACAAGTTGAGTGGTTGACCTAAAATAGGGTGAGTGACAACATTCAGTCCAATTCACTAAATGAAACCCTTTATTCTGTAAGATCATTACATTTCCCTTTACTTTGAAACTGGACTGATAACTGATTAATGTATTGATTTGTTTTGTAGTGAGAGATCTGCAAAAAAATAGATTGCAAGTAATACAGTTTTTTCTCATTTTAAAGAACATAAACTGTGCCTATGAAATTTGAGGAGTTCTGCAGGAAATAAGAGATCTCCACAAACGTGTTTATTATTATCAGTCTCCAAAGTTTGCTCTCATTTATCTTGTACAGGGTGGCGGCTAAAAGAGCAAAGCTGACACTGAGGAAAGCCTTTATTTGTTCAATAGGATTTCTTATGAGCCTCCCGACATGAGACTCACGTCCACCAACGACCATCATGTATGTAAATAATAATTGCACCCATTAGATTATTCTTTACCCCAATATTTGATGTTTTCCACAGAAAGGAAGCCATGTTTCTCCACAAATGTGGGTACAGCTGTGCATTTAAAATAATCAGAAACATGCATATGAAATTGGTCACTTTAAAGTGACAAATTGTCCGTCCGAACCATTATTAAAAACAACAGTTATCCCCAGCTCTATTCACTCCTCAGCTCCTACCTTAAGTTCCTGCAGTTTGAGACGGAGGTGGATCAGTTTCACCACAGTGTCCTTTTGTCTCTCTGAGTGTTCTGGCAGCTCCAAGATCAGCTTTTTACACTCCTCTATGGCCATTTTAAGCTTCTCAATGTCGGATGCAATAAACGAACCCTGAAACAGGTGAACAATTGAACATTAATTGAGAGCATTAAAACCAATAGATCTGTATGTAGGTTTCTTTAAATCAGATTTTTTGGAGTTGACTATTCCTTTCTTACCATGGGCCTTGAGAAGTGGTCCTCAGCTAGACCGAGGTCCATGGTCCGGTCTGAACTGTGGGTTCTGGTCCCAGAGAACAGCTCAGGTCTTGCTTCTTAAAAAAGGCAACATGGCATAAAGCACTGTTCTTCTTGTAGGGATACAAATGCACTCAGTCACACAAGCTAATTTCGCACACATGACTGTGGCCACTCAAGACAATCCCTACACTCTGACTCAGCTCTCAGGAAGTCTAGAAGGACAAACAGTTCAAAATGCATAACTGAAGGAATCCTTTACAACAATCTCTTATCAGTTTGGAAAATGTGTAACTAAGCCAGGAGAAAAGACAGACTCCTGAGTCATTAAAACAGCTACTTAACTACCTGAATGAACCTTGAAGTGCTTTTAACTTTTGCGTCCAAATGTTTATAATCAATCTGTTCTGGGAAATATCATCGTTTTGTGAAGATTACTTGCAAAAATAATCTTCAAGATGCAAAGAGTGCTTTCTAAACTAGATGTGAGCTTGTGCTTTCTAGTGTATGTGACCACATTAGAGCTGCATAAATAGATGTTATTGATTTGGCCACTTGGGAGCAGCAGAACAAGCTGTAACATAACATCTGACTTGTTTCCTTGTTATTGAGCAAAAAGGGACATGGGTGTGGGGTGGGGGGGTGGGGGGGGGGGGTGAAGAAGCCAACATAGTCACACTATCTTGCGCTTCAAATTATGAATCAAATCTCAACTGAGTGTGTAACATTATACATATTAAACTCAGCAAGCAATGAAAGAATGCCAGCTACAGTTTTTTTCATAACTTTTTTCCCCCACACATGACTGGTCACACACACACTCACACACACATCCAGCAGACAGGAGGAACATTCTGCTGTATATTGAGTCATTTCAATGAATGCAATTCAAACAGAATGTGGAATCAGAGGATTCATTCTAATAACAAATTAACAAAACACTGAATCATGTGCATTTTAAAAGGAAAGTGTCATTTGTACAATGTATTATGACCCATAGAATAACCTTGCCACAAAACTACCTCAATACAGTTGTTGTTGTTGTTGTTGTTGTTGTACGAAATGTGTTGATTGTTACTTGTAGTGTTGTCCTGAACTAAAAGGGTTGTAATAAGTTAGTACTTTAAGCCCCCATTTATTTTAGAGTTAGACTTAGTAAAAAATAAAGGTTGATCATCCTCCCCTATTTAAAATTACATTTTTAAAAGATACATTTTTTACAGGTTTTACATTTAACTTAAAATCAAATGAAACCAGAACACCCTAATCATTCGATATATAATATTCCAAAATGTCAACCAGTCTAATTTTTATTTTAAAAAAAAGGTAGACAACAGCAGACAACAGATGATGTTTTTACCTGCATACGCCTCACAAAAAAACATGCTCAGTGAATCCTGCTTCTCCGTGCCAGACAACAGAAACATACATATGCCACGAGTCAATTCTCTTAGTGTGTCAGGCTTGTCTGTCCAAGTTATTGTAATTGAAGAAAAAGTTTGTATATCCAAAATCCTAAAAATACAGGAAGTGTTCAGAATGTACTGCTTACACTTGTGCTTTTCATTTCCTCTGGTTAGCTCAACCTTCCAATACATAAGCTTAGAGATACTAACACAAATCCAGCATTTGTTTTCTTTATGTTAGGATCTTCTCCAAACTAGATTAAATAGTTTAATTTCTGTAAATATATTAGGGAAACAATTAGTCAACAGCATCACAAGGGAGTCACTGCCCCATACAGTTAGTGAGCCATAGGGATGATATGTAAGCAAATAATAAGGGAGCTTTACCACATCTGAAAGTGACCTTTAGAAAAGTAAAAACCATGATCTCAGAAAACACCTCCTACGGCAGCACACATTTCCTTATGACAGGCCTCAGGCAAGGAACATGTGTTATTTTTCAAAACAATTGCTAATAGAGAAGTAGGACTAATCCGAATCTTTTCACAGTCTGCAACACCAGCATAACAGAAGATTGTAATGATAGCTGGATGTCTGGCAAAGTAGATTAAATACTTCCTAGACAAGGTCAAATGTGCATCATAACGACAGAAGCTGGAAGGAATTCATTTCTCATCCTCACAATTGTATCTGCTGCACACACGTTCTGGGATTTTCCCGCGATACATCAGAAAGTGAAACAAGGGTTCGACAGAGTTGTTTTGTGCTTAAAGGGTCCATGTCATGCTTTTCTGGTTGTCACACGTCCCCTTGTGTGTTATGAAGGTTTGTATGCATGTAAACGGTCTGCAAAGTCACAAACCCTCAAAGTACACCCTGTAGCGAGTAAAACTCTAACACAGAAAATACCTGTCTATGCTGCCCCAGAACGCCTCGTTGGAGATGTATCTTTTTCCATTGTTTGCTTCCTGGCTTCTGTGATGTGTGAACACCCAAATCAACAACAAATGACCAGATTGGCCCAAATGGACCAATCCGCGGAGCACCTCACACACCAGGATCCCTTGGCTAACTAACAGGGAGTCCCAATTGACTTGCATAGAGCTCCCTGAACACTGGTAATTAGGGATGCTCCGATCGATCGGTCACCGATCGAGATCGGCCGATACTCACTCTCTACCGATCGATCGGTGCTCTCTAAACATGCAGATCACGAGAGCCGATCGCATGACGTAAAATACATAACACTTTTCTCTGTGTGCGGCAAAACAAGCTCGCCAAAATGGCTTCACCGGTCTGGCATTATTTTAAGGTGTCCGAAAAAGACGGTAAAATAGTGGTATGCAACGTGAGTGAAGCAGAAATCCTGCAGCTCCGCCCGCTGTGACGGACCGGTGAGCGGAGCGAAACACACAAGAGTTAGACCTAACACACTTAGCTATTTTATCTACCTGTGGAACAAGCTAAACTAGTTATTATAAATATATTTATTCTTCACTGTCGGGTCACTCATTACTGGATCAATGAGCTGCATGAGATACTGACGGGCTGTCAGGAGAGAGAGAGAGAGAGGGGGAGAGAGGAACAGAGAGCACTTCCGCTCATTTCTCCCGTGTTATTCTCCAAAGTGAATGTAAACTTGAATAATGTACATCATTTGAATGTAATAATTAAGTTGATTGTTGTTTGTGGAAGCTCCAGTGAATGAGCCCCATTAACTGAGTTTAAACATCACTTTAAATGGAAGATTTAAAGTGATGTTTAAATCTTCCATTTAGGTCCCGCCCACTCGATCGGATCGGCCGATACTGATTCCGGCGATCGGCCCCGAAATTGGCGATCGGAGCATCCCTACTGGTAATAGACGAGTTGGGATCACAGAGAAATGCTCTCCGCAGACCCATGCTCACAGCGTTCCAAACCTTTTTCTTACTCAATATCAAGCCACACTTATTGTTTTTACTTCGGCTGTGAGTGTTTGTGTGTGCTCAGGATGAGTTTCGCTGTGTCTCTCTGTATCGCCAACCCGGAAACCTGTCCGCTCCTCGCAGCAGCGAGCCTCGCAATGTCCCGACCAATCAGAGCACACTGGGCTCACAGGGAGGGGGGGGGCAGGAGCTCCAACAATCCGTTTAGGACAGAGAGTGAATACCTGGTGAATACACATACTATACAGAGATGCTGTATGAGAAACCAATGTGATTTTGGAAAATTGCACAATTTAAATCTATTCTAGTAGACCTCAACAATGGAAATATGATCCGTAGAAATGGACATGACATGGGACCTTTAAGTCTTACGTAGTCTTACGCATGTGTTCTGGCAGATCCCAACAGTGAAATTGATATGACTGTAGAGGAAACTTCTGTGTAGCATGCAGTGGAGTCACCGACTCAGGAAGGAGACACGGGAAGAGTCGGAGCTTTGATGTCAAACCACTGTGATTTATTTGGAGTTGGTACCAGAGTATTCACATCACAAATCCAAGAGTCAGAGATTCTGACTCCACGGTAGAGTTGCCACGTCAATTCTGGAGAGCCTCTCTCTTGCCAGCCCATCTAACTGGTTTCGCAGAGAGTAAACAACATATTTGAGGAGATAGCCTAAACAGTGTGGGAACACAGAGCTACTTGCCTCGGACACTTATGACCTCGAAGATTTCACCTTGGAGTCCACAAATACAGAGAAGGAAGTGTCCCAGTGTACCCACAACACAGACCATCTGTATCCCAGTATTGACCGGTCACAGAATGGGAACAATAACATTATTGGCTAAGCCGCCTGTGTCCTTAAAGAAGGTAAACAGACATCGAGGTTTGTCCTGTATGTTACTAATTGGCGTCTTATGATAATTATTTCCACAACAATGACATGTTTCTGTCTACATGTTATCTTTTATGAGGTCTTTGTGAGCACTAGAGAATAAATGAGACCCATGAGGTGTGGTGAAGTGCAGTGTGAGTTGCTGTCAGCCACCGTAATAAACGTTGTTATGTTTAAAGTAGCACTACTTGATAAATAATAATAATAATAATCCTTATATTTATTATAGCGCTTTATCAATGACTCTCAAAGCGCTTTACAAATACACATTACACATACAGATCATACATGTAATGGTCATCTACTGTGGACAATACCCACAGGAGCAAATTCGGGTGAAGTGTCTTGCCCAAGGACACAACGGCCTGACGCAGTGGGGCGGGAGCGGGTTTCGAACTGAAGTTCCCCAACGCCCCCTTGATCTGATGATCAAACGCACAGACCACTGCGCCACCCGTCCCCGAGGTGCATGACAAGTGCATGACAAGTCACCAAAACTGTTCAATTAATAATCCATATGATTTTAAGGTTAACAAATCTTGGTTCATTAGTAATTAGTAAGTTAAAGAGTCCATGAAAAGCACTTGGACCTAAAGCATCAACCTTTTTTCCTAGAAATGAACTACAGGTGTGAAAGTGACCATAAAGTAATGACATATGATTTGCCTGTGAAGAATTTCCACAAACTTTACCGTGGAGTGGGGGCGTTTTGCCTCCTTGGGGACCATCTTCTTCCTCTCCACGATCAAAGGGATTGAGGCGGGTTTGGCGAAAAAGTGCAAGTCTCTCATCATACTCCATTTCATCGGCTACATCTAAAGAAGAATATAAAACATAACAGTAACAGTGATAAGTTGGTTACTTTCTCTTCTCTTATATTTATGAATTGAAGCAGGAAGCCGGAACCTAATTTGCCGGCACGGCACTTGTTTTGCAGTGTTTTCCCATTCACATCCCAATTATATCGGGCACCTGCTACCTGTTATACTTGTGATTTACACTTTCTGTAAAAACACTGTAAAGAATCATCCGAAACTGAACTTAAATGAGACTCCACAAAGCCACAGAAGAAAGTATACAAATTATTGTGGATGTTTTCCCAGACAGCATCTTCACAGAGCACTCCCTTGATAAGTAAATTCTAAAATATGCTTAAATTGATTAATGTTAATGTCAAGAAGTTATGTTAATGGTCTAGAGCTCTTTTAAAAAAGAGAAAAAAACTCAAATATCATCTTGAACAGCAGACTGCTTTTCATATCTGAAAAAGGAATAAATGCATCTTAAAGAGCTATCAATGTCTTACTGTGTGTTTTTGCCATAAATAAATAAAAACCATGTGTTAACTTTATGTTAGTGTTTGAGGATACGTATCAAAAGCATACAAATTAAAACAACAGCACTCCTTTAAATCAATGTACTGTATGTACAGACCTTTATATATACAGTCTATGGTACAGACCCAATACACAGCACTGTCACTAACTCTGGCAGGCTATAAAGCTAGTTATTTGGAAGTCACTTTTGATATATGCCCAAAAAAAGGCATTCAAATATTTGTTTATGATTCATTGATATTATCGAGGTCAGTGACGGTAAAAGGGATCAGCAGGGGCAATAGGAAAACACATTCTGAAGCCTCGCCTCATCCACTGTAACCAATCAGGGCTGTTGTTGACAGTCCGCTCTCTAACACAGCGGTAACCTTACCATTATTGTTGCGAGCCATAATGCTAAACATGTAGGATGTTAAATATTAATTATAAAAGCTATGCTAATAATATAAAAAGGGCACATCAACAATAGACAGATGTCAACAGACAGCTAACGACAGCTAGCTCACTAGCTTTGGGGAAAAAAAGCATCTGCTGGATGCTAATGTTAGCTTATTAAACGTTCCTGTTTGCTCAATAGCTTACCCCGTTGTCGACACTAGTAATCGTTAAGGACTCGGCAGCAGTAAAATATATTTGATGGTTGACACCAGTGGTTACAATTAACAGTTTTCCCCGTGGTGGGTTGTCTCTTCCATCAGCAACAACACAAGACAAAAGTGTCAAGTCATCCATTGTTTAAAAATCGATTCCCGGTAAGTATTTTCAAAATAAAACCCGTTTGGCACTTAGGAGTCTTGGTACCTTCCAAACAACTTCCTCAAAGATTACAAATCGTCCCATTGAATTGAAAAAGAGGTGTTTCCCAGAACATCTAACAGCCTAATAACTGACTATTAAATTAGATAGTGCACTGATGATAGGAATGGACATTTCATCAAATATTACAATTGACAAGTTGTCGTTTCTGAGTGTCTAACAAGAAGGGGGATTATAGTTGGTCTAAATGCCATGGGAAAGTATGCCTGTATTCAGAGATGTACACGGTTAGACCTGTGTTGTCATTGCACATGACTAAAATCTGTTGTGCAGCAGCTCCTACAGTGGTACATTTAAAATCCATATGCCAATAATCACACATAGCCCTTAATGCTGCAATTACTGTGTAAGTGGCTTTGTGGTTGTCTTGAATATCCATGTCAGATGAAGCCTCATGAGATGAAGCCTTTTGAGAACCAATTGGCTGGAAAGCTTCAAAGCTTCGTAAGGCTTCATCTCGCCATCACTAGTTTAAATGTAGTCTGGAATCGGATCGCTGGGTTGCTAGAAACACAGCTGTCATCAGACTGGCAGGCTGTTACTTGCTCTGCTCAACCCCCCTCCGTTTAAATGGACTCAGTAGCGCCCCCTGCTCCGTGGAGAATAACTCAGGACATTTCTGAGAAAATCCTCAGCACCACAACCACGGCGGTCCTGCCAAAAGTCACGTGATATTTTGTTGTCTGTAGGATTGTTTGTACTCATAGAGAAAAAGGTTTTGTACTTGTAAAACCTATGCTGTATTTGTTTCTGTGTTTGTACTTGTAGAAAATATGTTTGTGTAGCCTACTTGTAAAACTTAAGCTGGATTTGTCTCTGAAACATGATAGGCTATTAGAACAATGTAATGTGTTTGTCTGATAGACACGTTTTTTATTTGCAAAACTGAATGCATTCGTTTGTATATGGTGTTTTGTATTTGCAAACCAGTTTGTTAGTGAATCAAAAGGTATTTGTAAAACTAGTTTAGTTTGTTTGTGGAGTTATGGTAGGAAATTAGCTCCATAGGCGCGCGCTCTCACGCTGAGCCACATCATAGCCTTCATAGAATCCAAATAATGAACTCGGAGGTAACCTCCTGAGGAAGCAACTACCATGAAATTATTATTTCAACAAGGTAACCAAACATGTTTTGCCTAAAAATACCAATGATGAAAATTAAGGATTATTCATTCATTTTGGGTTCATGTTTCATGCTCTTCTTCTGTACAAACCAAAAGTAATTCCAAAAGATACAGGTCATAACATTCTGGTAAAAAAAAAAAAACCTATATCCACCAAACTCAACAACTAAGCAGTGAAGAGTTAAAGAGGAAGGGAAAGTGACTAAAATATCCCCAGAATTAAAAAAAATACATCTAGTGCTAATGCTCGTTAGTAGTTATAATCATCCTGTTTCAATCACATTAGTATGCATGAAAAGTGACATGTGACACGCCCCCAATTACGCAAATGAGCTAAGTCCCGCCTCCCATTGTTCGAGATCCTTTGATGTGAGTGGGTACAATCATGTTAATGAGCTAAGTCCCGCCTCCCTTTGTTCGAGATCCTTTGATGGGTGTTATAACAGGTAGGTGTGAAAAGCCCCCCTGTGTAGTGCCTTTGTTGTCTAATTCTTTGATGTGTTAATTAAGGCAGTCTCTTTGAAGTTATGCTGTCTGGCCCCTGTCCCCTCACACCCTTTGTAGTCTAATCCTTTGATGTGAGGTGTTATAGCAGGTAGGGGTGATATAAGCCTCTGATGTTAATCTAGGTGTTGATTAAGGCAGTCTCTTTGAAGTTATGCTGTCTGGCCCCTGTCCCCTCAGAGTTGACTAATCTAATTAGCCTTTGATGTTTGCCCTTTGATGTGAGGTGTTATAACAGGCAGGTGTGATTTCACACTGGTGTGTTATAAGCCTTTGATGTTAATCTAGGTGTCTCTTTGAAGTTATGCGTGAGACTGTCTAGCCCCCCGCCCCCTCCCAGCCCAGGCCTCTCCCCCTTTTCTCCACCCCTTCCTTTGACTATGACGCCAGCAAATAGTGGGGGGTGGAATCAGATGAAGATAGAAATATGCTCAAACTAAATAAAAAGACAGTCATTTCCACTTACCAAGTCACCTTTTAAAAAAGAAAAATGGCCAAGAGACGCCTCGATATGGGTTTAATCAGCGAGACGCCTGTGACAACTTACCGCCATCCGTCCGGAGCGCCAGTCAAGAAACGAATGCCGCATCTGTGCGGGGTTCAGACGCATACAGCCGAAGATCTGTGCACAAACTTATCTCGTGCCCTCTTTTGGTCATGTGCGCGCGCGTTCATGTGTGTTGGAGGAGGGGCTCTGTGAGGAAGTGGCAGATTTTCCCCCGGTTGTGTACTTTTCAAATACGTAAAGAGGGAGATAATAAAATATCCTATTACCCCCATGATCTTTGTCTTTTTTATAATTACTTCACACAACTATAAGGAAGCCCAATATGAAGTTATGTGAGGGTGTATATGGGTAATATTAGAATTTTGCTGTATCCATAAAAGAGAAGTTTTAAAAAAAAGAAGTGTTTCTGCTCCATTCACTCCATGGCGGCTCCAGCTTTTTACAGAGGGCTCCGCCTCCCACTCAACATAACAAGTCCCGCCCTCCTCACCAGATCATTTAAAAGTAAGGGGGTGGAAATAGATGAAAAAAGAAATACGCTCAAACTAAATAACAAGCCAGTCATTTCCACTCGCCAAGTCACCTTTTCAAAAAAGAAAAATGGCCAAGAGACGCCTCGATATGGGTTTAATCAGCGAGACGCCTGTGACAACTTACCGCCATCCGTCCGGAGCGCCAATCAAGAAACGAATGCAGTATCTGGGCCGGGTTCAGACGCCTCCAGCCGAAGAACTTCATGAAGAATGGACTCTGAAAAATGGCGATGTTTGGGGTTATGTATTCAACTATATGGCGAATGAACTGCATTTCTACAATCTGAAGAATGGAGAAACGTATGGACCCCGTAGTGTTAAAGCGACACTGACCTCAACAGATTGGGCTGTGTTAACTCTGGTGTATTCCAGAGATCTCCACGCAACCACGGTATCGGAAGAAGTAGTGCATCAAGAAACCATAGTGGAACCAGCGGTGTACAAGATATTTGCAAAGAAAAGCAAAGAAACACAGACAGCATGTGAGATCAAAGAAGAGTTTGCACCGCTGCCCCTCAAGGTGGAGGAAGAAGGAGATATTCCACCGCCGCCAGAAGTAAGAAGAGTCCTGACAAGCACCGTCTGGGAAACTAAAAGCGGACCATCGGGGCGATGGTATTACCGCGCAAGCCGTATGGTGACACTGGGGAAGGACCCCTCTGATGATTTTGTTTTGTAGTATTTCAACTCTACATGCGGGGTTTTTCAGACATCCTTGCGGGGGCCTCTGACTGCTTGGCTGAAAATGATTGATGGAAAAGCTACAAAGCTTAAATCCGGTAATGGCTCTACAACACCATCAGCATCCTCTAGTTTAAATGTCTTCACTTTGTTCTTTTTCTTTTCACCTTCCTTCTTTTTGTCTTTTTCGTTTTCCGTCCTATGGTCCCTTTTCTTTTCATTCGCATTCTGCGTTTGCTTTTCATTTTTCTTCTCCTTTTCATTTTTCTTTTTCTTCGTTTTTCTTTACTTTTTCTTTTCTGCTAATTGTCGTTTGCGATCTTGGCGAGTGGTATGAGATATACTGTTTCTATAAAGGTTATCTATAATACCATCTTTTAAAGAAAGATATTCTTCATATGTCATGTTATCATAGTCCTCTTTTGTCCTAAAGACCTTACATGGATATGATATAGAGGAGAGCTCTTCTTCGGGAACATCCTCTCCCCTACTTTGTAACATCCAGTCATTAAGCCCATATCCGTTATCCTGGTGATAATAAGGGGAGGCTACATCAGACTTGGTTTTTCTCAGATCCATGGCTAGTTTTCAACGGTCGTCTTAGTGGGGTCCTTAGTTTTATATGATTTGCTGAGTGGGGTGGGACTTATTGCGTTGAGTGGGAGGAGTCATCTGTAGAAAGTTTTTTTATTTAGTTTGAGCATATTTCTATCTTCATCTGATTCCACCCCCCACTATTTGCTCGCGTCATAGTCAAAGGAAGGGGTGGAGAAAAGGGGGAGAGGCCTGGGCTGGGAGGGGGCGGGGGGCTAGACAGTCTCACGCATAACTTCAAAGAGACACCTAGATTAACATCAAAGGCTTATAACACACCAGTGTGAAATCACACCTGCCTGTTATAACACCTCACATCAAAGGGCAAACATCAAAGGCTAATTAGATTAGTCAACTCTGAGGGGACAGGGGCCAGACAGCATAACTTCAAAGAGACTGGCTTAATCAACACATCAAAGAATTAGACAACAAAGGCACTACACAGGGGGGCTTTTCACACCTACCTGTTATAACACCCATCAAAGGATCTCGAACAAAGGGAGGCGGGACTTAGCTCATTAACATGAATGTACCCACTCACATCAAAGGATCTCGAACAATGGGAGGCGGGACTTAGCTCATTTGCATAATTGGGGGCGTGTCACATGTCACATTTCATGCATACTAATGTGATTGAAACAGGATGATTATAACTACTCTCGTTCTCTGCTAAACATATGAAATAACAATTAATGTAGTTCTTCCAAAGGAGGCCCATGGGTGAACCATTATCAACTCAGTATTTTTGGAATGATTTAAAAACAATTAAGGTTTTTAATTTCCTCCATGAGGACATTCAAGAATTTACATTTGTTCCAGATGGAAATCCCCCCCTCCCAGCAGTGTTGTTGAGACCATGTTGTTGAGACCATGTCAGCAACTGAACTTGATCATGAGATTGAAAAAGTTGCTTTTCATGAACGTCTCTGTTCTGTTCTCAAAGGCTCTTCTGTCTGCTAAGAACAAATGTTGCATTGCA